CCACCAATCTGTAAATATATTTTCGTGTTTTGTTTTATTTCATTTTAATGTATTTTTAATGCATTTTATGCATCCTTAATGTACTTTTATTTGTAATTCTGGTCTGTGACCATGATAAAGAAGATGATGATGATCAGCAAACAGCATAATTAATCATCTTTACAAAGCAATCACGATTGAAAACTAAGCTGGCTTTCCAACCTCATAAAATTCACCTACGTTTTTAATTAAAGGAATCACCAAAGAGTGGAGTACTTTGATGGAATACCTTCAAGATGCCTGAATTTCATGGTTCCCTGCTCTTGAGAGCTACCAAAAGAAAGCACACAGTCAGGTGCAATGTGTGTGTGTATGTGTGTGTGTGTGTGTACATGTACATATACATACACATATCCTGCAGATGTATAAGACCAAATCTGTATAGACTGCAGACCTGTATGAATCAGCCTGGCTTGAGAGGCTTGAGAGATCTGAGATTTGAAAAGGGCATAACCTGATGGCACACTGATTCAGTTTCAGATGCTTCAAGATTCAGTTTGATAAAAGAGTTGACCATAGGTTGTAATGGGGAAGCATTGAGACGTGTTGCTGCTACTTCTCCTCCCCTCCTCTGATGGGAATAAAAATAAGGCAGGTAGATCCATTACAGGATCATCCCACCAGTAACCCTTGTTTTCAAGGGTTTCATCCCAGTAATTTTGTTGTACTATTCTTCCAAACTGTTCAGAAACAACCCAACTTGTGTTGACCCAGTGCAGAAAGTATTATATTCTAACTTAAAAATACACTGGTTGAGACATACTGTAACCTCTTTTCCATCTGCTGTTCTGAACTTCCAGATGTGAGGAATCATCTTAATGAGCAGGTGGCAACCGTGGTCAGGGGGACCTTTGCACAGATTTGTCTCGTGTGCCAGTTGCACCCTTTCCTGGACCAGGAGACCTTGCTCATGGTCACTCATGCTACGATCACTTCTCATTTGGATCACTGCAACACGCTGTACATGGGGCTGCCCTTGAAGACCACCCAGAAGTTACAACTGGTCCAGAATACAGTGGCACACACAGTGTTGGGCATCCCTACGTTTGCCCAGATTACACCCCTGTTGCATGAGCCGTACTAGCTCCCAGTTTTCTTCTGGGTGCAATTTAAGGTGCTGGTTATTAACTTTCAAGCCTTACATGGCATGAGACCAGGTTATCTGCAGGACTTCCTCTCCCTGAGGACATCTGCCCATCCCACCAGAGTGATAGGGTGGACATGCTCCAGGTCCCTTCCCTTAAATACTGCCACCTGGTGGGTCCTCGGAAGCGTGCCTTTTCCATTGCAGCCCCTGCCCTATGAACCCCCCTCCCCCTGGAGACCCGACAGGCCCCCACACTTTTAACCTTCCAAAGAGCATTCAAGACCTGGCTCTTCCCCAGGCACTGGGATAGGGCGAGGTCAGGGCAGGGCAGGAAAGGAGGTGCATCAGAGAAATGTGGCTGTGGTGCCAGGTTGTTCTCTTTTTGGTTTTATTGCTGTTAGTTTTATACTGTTTTGTATTGTTTATTGACCAGAGTTATTTTTAAGAAGGGCAGCTATATAAATGTTATAAATAAATAAATAAATAAATAAATTCATTCATTCATTCATTCATTCATTCATTCATTCATTCATTCCTTGGGCCTTGTAGGGTGAGATGCTTTGCTGCCTCTGATCCCTGTTTTTTGACATGCCATGCCAGGATTTCAAATGGCAATCTTGGCCTCTCCCGGGAAAGACTCACTTATGCCTAGACTCACAGTTTCTATTTATTTATTTTGAAGGTTTCTACAGCCAACCAACTTGCACAACCACAATTCCAGGCAGCATACTTCAAATAAAAACTTGCAGAATATATTACTAATAAAAAATATATCAGTAAGTAACAAAATCCATAAACTGTTATTGTTTGTCTAGTGTTAATCTCTGCTTATCTTGATTGATATCCATCAATAGCCACATAGAGATAAACCATGTTTACACACCATTCAAAAGAGCTAAGAAAGAAACAAAAAAATCAGAACATATTCTCTCCACCAACCAACACGCAGATAAGCAGAGATTAACACCAGACAAACAATCTAGCAGAAAACAATACCCTAATCAAGGAACTAGCAAGGAGAAATCACACCCCCATTGATACTGACAGGGCAAGCTACTATATAGAAATGGGGAGCAAACTCCCTCGCACTGATGAAATTACCTAGTCAGGTAATGAAACGTCTGCAAGCAAACCACCAAACTCAGACAAGGACTCCACAATTAATAGTATCTTATGTGGGCCACCTGGAGTTTGTAGAATCAGGTGGGATATAGATTGTGTAAATAAATAGCCAAATCAATAAGTAAATACATTCCAGACATTTGGGGAAGCTTATAAATACTGTTAAATAAATAGACATATCCAGAGTATATCTCAAATCCAAGCCTTAAGGCAGAGACATATCTGTTTAACTCATCAGATACAGACCCAAAATCAAATAATTTAAATCAGGCATTTGTCCGATTTCCAGTGAAAGGAGGGGGGAGCAAACACATCACTAGCATTAGGTGAGCATACAAGAACAGTCTACCTAGTACAAGTTAGGTGCAGGAGAAAGATCCCCTGTTATGAGAACTACAGGACATCATTAAAATCACTCAAACACATTGTCAAGGCCCATCCCAGACAACGTTGCTTGTCAAAGAGGAGACAGCGTACTTGTTCATAGGCAGGTATTCATCCTGCAATGGTTATTTGCTAGAATAATAGATGATGGCAAAATGATACATAAAACTGGAATCAAACTCTACAGCAGACTCAGACGGCAGTTTGGACCCTGTGTCTAGTCTGCAGGACCTCATAAAAGCATCCACAATAAGGCTGCGTCCTTCTGCTTATTCTTCTATGGGATGTCACATCATCGCCGAGAACAATATTCCATTCATCTAACCCAATGTTTCTCAACCTTGGCAACTTTAAGATGCATAGACTTCAACTCCCAGAATTCCCCAGCCAGCATTCTGGGAGTTGAAGTCCACATATCTTAAAGCTGCCAAGGTTGAGAAACACTGTTCTAACTAATGAGCTATAAGCCCTTCAGCCTCAGTAGCTTTGTATTTTTTGAAGACTGATCAACTGGAAAAAAACGTTGGTATCAATCTTTAAGTAATCTTCCTCTCCTCTCCACACAAATACAGAACATTTTATCTGTACAGATGTGCATTTTGGAATTCAGCGGTCCAGAGAGAGCATGTATGTCCAGCACAAATGTGGTTCAGCTTTTATGGGATTTTGGTTTTCCTATGTAATAAAGGCTTCTTTATGCATGATGGTCTAGACCTGAAGAAGATGGAATAACTATCTTCAGATATCTAAAGGGTTGTCACAGAAGAGAAATGGATTTAATCTCGATTGCCCCAGAGGGCAGGACCAGAACTAACGGCTTAAAATTACAAGGAAGCTGGTTTAAGCTGGACATCAGGAGGAACTTTTCTGCTGCAGCACCGGCCCGCTGAATATTCTCCCTCCAGAGATTAGGTTGGCCCTGAAACCTGCTTCCTTTCACAAGGCCCTAAAGATCCAGTTCTGTGCCCAGGCCTGGGGCCCCAAGTGTGTGAAAGTTCCCATCTCCTGGTTGTACTGATGATTAATGATAGTTGTATTTCTCGGCTGCTGTATGTTTCGATTTTTGTAATTGTAACTGTTTTATTTGTATGGTTCCTTCCAATTCCATGAAACAGAGGAATGCTGCTGAATGAGCTGTTCTGCATAATGCATCACCAGTGTTAGATGGATCACATCTCCCTGATCTTCCACCTTTCTCAGAACTGTATACTGTATCATGCACCCATTACAGTGGTACCTCAGGATACGAACTTAATCCGTTCCGTGACTCTGGGCGTATCCCGAGTTGGTCATAACCCGAAGGAAATTTCC